TAAATGAAAAAAAAAATCTGCCTTTAATTTTAGTGAGGGGGATGTAATGTACAATAGTATGTTTATGTACAACTTATGTAATACATGTAACGGAAGTTGGGGTTATCTGCCCTTGCTATCTCTGTAAAAAATTACCCGCCATGTCAGATGTCTGAATGCTCCACTGTACTGTCAGTGTTTAATAAAGTATTCTGTTTCATACACCAAACCGGTGTCCGTTGATATTATATTACACCCCTACCACACATGAACCCCTGACCCTTAGACCTAGATCCACACATTGCACAATTTTGAAAAGACATCCTTGCTTTTCAAAAATATAATACCAAGGAGCAAATTTCAAACAATTCATTCATTTTCAGTCTATAAGTACAGCCCCCCCCCTATGGTACCCCTGACCCTGGGGCCTTGAAATTCACAATTCTGAAAGATAAGGATCCTTGCTCATAACTATTTAGGTAGTTCATCTGCTTAATACCCAGGAACATAGAAGAAAATTTTCAAAGATTTTATGTATTTTCACTATATAATCAATAGAGCCCCGCCCTAGCACCAGAACCCCTGACCCTGGGGCCATAAATTTCACAAACAATTTTGCTAGAGGCGGTCTTGCTCATCATAACTATGTACTTAGTTGGTTTATTTAATACCCAGGAGCAGAGAAGAAGATTTTCAAAGAAATAATGCATTTTCACTGTATACTTATTTAGCCCCGCCCTAGCACTAGAACCCCTGAGTCGTCAACCTCCGAAAACCCAAGATGCATCAACTCTCAAAGTTTGATGTCCTTAGCCAATAAATACCTAAGATACTTAAAGGTCATACGAAACAGTTCAAAACACTAGGATTTTACTTTTTAAACATACAGACTGGTATGAAAGAATGTTGAAATACGTTTGGTAAAAAAATCTGATCTAAAAAATAAAACATGTCTTTTAATCCTCAGACACAGTTCTATCATTTACTAGTTGCATATTTTAGATCAGAGGTTGCGCTGTATATTAAATATCGAAAAATAGCTTTAAAAATTGGCCGATTTTGTAGACTTTTTCAGAATATTAGGAAACTGACACATTTCGTGATGTCATAATGCATTGACTAGCCAGAAAATTACGTCATTTTTGATAGATACGCAATCACCAAATATCTAACTGACGTTCAATGCATTGTTAACAAAAACTGTGTAGTTTCAGTTTTTCAGAAATTCACAGGGCCAAATATGGCAAAAGTGAACCATGTTCTTTGTTACACGCTTTTCGTTCTTGAGTTTGTGTTTGTATGACGTTACAAAGACCCATTGATGTAAACAATGCATTTGATCTTGTGTAATTTTACTGTATTTATTGAGTTAAATTTTGTCTTCTTTGTGGATATAAATGTGATGATATGTTTTAAGATGAGCTATCTGATTGTAACGAACAGTTTACTCTATTTCAAGATTTTTTACCTTCAACAACAATCTTCTTGTTTATTTGGTTGCTTTTTTTGATACATGGTGTTACCCCCTCCCCCTTTTTCCTAATTAAACACGGGGATATTGAAGTTCATGATAAACGTTGATCTCTAAAAAGTCGGCGTATTTGAATGCACGAATCTGCAATCTGAACACGGGAACTAATGAAAACGATATATAGAATTAGGTTTATGACGAAAACATCGTAATTTTGCTGTCACAAGAAACGTGATTTTATAACATGGCACAAAACTTACCAGCATTACTAGTATGCACGTGAATGTACAGTAAATGTTACGGTGCTGATACTTCTAGATAAGAGTTTGATCGATTAGCCGCAGTTAGAAAATACTCATACAGTGCGTGCATGAGCTGATCAGTAAAAGGAACCCATACTCCCAATGCCCATTGTTTGCGAGACGGAACCTAAAGAATTTTTAAAAATTAATATTTTACAGTTAAACATTACAGAGCTCACCTTAATGCCTCCTTGGATGTATCACCCTTGCAAGTTTAAATTGGTCAACATGGGGCTTAAAGTTACTTGGAAATTATATCTGTACCAAAAACGTTAACCTGCTCAAAAGCATTATCCTGGTCATTCTTTTGCTGAAATTGCAGCATTTGAAACCTTGACTGGTACAGTCAAACACACTAGAAGCATCTTGCGTGTATATCTGATCAATGTAGGGCATAAAAGTACTTAAACAGAAAATTACACCAAAAACTTTAACCTGGGACACCGCCGCTGAGGGTTTCACATAAGATCCTCCTATCCTTCTTTGGGGTGAGCTTATAAAAATGTTAACATTTCTCCTTTTAGATGGACGTTTTCCAAAATTCCTTTAAAATAGCAGACTGATCTTTTATTTTTGTCAATTTTCACCTCGAAAATATTTGTATTAAGGTAGGACAAAACAGCCGTGGATTCTATTTTAACCCATTTCTTAAAAAGTACTGGAGGAAAAAAGAATAATATTACTATATTGACAACAATGAATGATCCCTAAAAGAAAAATAATAAGTTCTGGCATATTTGCGTTATATTTTGTGAAAAATTAAAGAATCCTATATATTGGTCTTGGGAGCTTACATTTTGGAATGTGTTTACGCTTTCTAAAAGCGTAAACAAGCATGTAACAGTCTGTTATAAAATGCAGTGCAACTTTTGTTCCATAAATAGTAGAGGGGTGATATTTGGACACATATATAAGGAGTCTCTCTTCTTCATGTACTACAAAGGCCAAGGTCATATCACGAGGTCAAAGGTCAAATATTGTGACGTCATCTACTGAATGTTTTTTTTAATTCTTTTTAATCTCCAAAATATCTTAAACCACTGGTTCAATTTTCTTTATTTTTACACATTTTATTCTAGGACCCATTTGAATCATTCTGTTGATTTTTTGTACAAATCGAATTATACATTTTCTCTTAAGAAAACTTAAACTGTCCGATATTTACATGTGAATTTTCAGTTTCTGATACAATGTATGTTCTATTTTACTTTATATTTTACCCAAATCTTCCAGTACAGATAATCTTCCAGCATCAATGTGACTTTCTGATTTAAAGTAACAAAAAGGTTATCTTTATTGAAGGTATTACACAAATTTGCAAAAGATCAATTGAAAATTCTAAAATAAGGCCCATTCTCAAGTCGAATGTCTGATTTCCCAATCTTCTTACAGGGGTCATATTTCCGACTATGTGGGCAAAAGATGTGCGGTTGAATTTCTTTCATATCATGTATAAAGAGAGATTTTGTACCCAAGAACAAAATATCAAAGTTTCAGAAAAATTGAATTTGAGGAAAAATTTGACCTATCTATTTGGTCCTACCTTAAAGATTTGATATTTGAGGCACATTCTTACTGAAATCCCGAACTCGCATTATGAAAGGGTTTTAATAATTCATTTTGATGGATTACATCATTGCTTATCGGATACCAAGAAAAAGTTGCAATTATTGCAGTGATGTTTATGATATATGTTCATGTGTGATCTATGAATAAAAAAATTAATCTTTTTTCTGATTTCTTAAACGTTAATAGAATATGAATAGATAGACATAATAAGTGGAAAATTTATTCTTTTTAAGCATGTTTGCAATTCTCAACATAATGTGTTATATCATGTTCCCAAAGTGTGTTTATTCAAGCCTTGTGTGTTTTTAAAGTGTTGTTTGCGTTTTTTAAAGGTTTCTCCCATCTTTTTTGCCAAATTTTTTTCTAGTCCCATTTTTAGGTTTTTATTATATTTGTTAAGTCTTAATTTTTTTCTAGTCCATTTTTAGGATTTTATTATATTTGCTTAGTCTTAATTAAGAACATGTCTAAATATGCTATTTTCTAATTTTTCTCCAATAAATTATTTGGTAATTTTTGTTTGGCATACAAATAAATGCTCATTTAAAACAACTGAAAGGTTCATGGTATATTTGGCAAAAACAGAGCAGAGTAGACTCATGTATTGAGATTTTGGTTTACAGTCAGAAAAACAAGAGCTATGGTATAATAAAAAAGACGTAGTCAATTGTTGCATTGCATTAATTTCTAACAGTTTGATATCAAACAACATCATCATCTTATTCTCCATAAGACTCTTAATGTTTTGAAGATAAAAAACGGCATGTTTCTACTTTGGCTTTCAATCAAAGCTAATGGATTATAAATAAAGTGACATATAACACATATAATCACTTGAATTATTGTATCTACACTCCGTAATATTTTGTAAATATCCATGCTAACCTAAAATAATAATCACAAGTAATAACCATGGTAGGCACAAGATACAGGCCCATGTAAATTCATAACAGTATTTTGTCTATTAAGTATGTTTTCTTTTGTGTTTTTCCTTTTTCTCTAATTTTAAATTGAAAGAAAATATGAAAGTAAAATTATTTATGTATTGTTTGAGCATTTAAGTGCCTTTTTATTTGTCCAAATAGGGAAAAACATAAAAATTAAACAATATAAGAAATACTATCCGACATTGCTTTGAGGTTTCCATATATGGTGAAAAAAATTTCGCAGCCATATTAAATCTAGCTATCCTACATAAACGGAGGCCGCTCAGACCTGTTAAACAGAAAACTACTCCAATAACTTTAACCTGGGACACCGACGCCGAGGGTTTAACATGAGGTCCACCTAACTTCGTTGAGGTGAGCTTATAAAAAATATTAACTTTCTCCTTTTAGATGGACGTTTTCCAAAACTTCTTTTAAAGAGCTCACTTGTCTTTTATTTTCGTCAAATTTCACCTCGAAAAATATTACTTGTATTAAAGGTAAAAATTTGATATTTGAGGCATATTTTTACTTAAATCCCGAACTTGCATTATGAAAGGGTTTAAATAAATAATTCATTTTGATGGATTGCTTCTCTGCTTATTGGATATCAAGAAAAAAGTTGCAATTATTGCAGTAATGTTTATAATATATGTTCATGTCTGATCTATGAATATAAAATGTAATCTTTTTCCTGATTTCTTAAACGTTTAAAGAATCTCATTTACTTATTGGACACATTAATGAACATACCAAGTTTTCCTGGTTTAGAGTCTTCAGTTTCATAAGTAATGGAACATTTCTGCACATCATTCTCAGTCCCTTTGTTTTCAATATTCTGTTCTTTTCCTTCCTCCACTTCTGTTACGAGAAATTCAAACAACAAAATAACAGATAGTTGGATTCTTTCTCATGTTTATTTTCATGAAAACCAGTTCCATTTCACAAACAGAAAATTAACAGGCAATGTGTTGGAAAGAGGTATTTTCTACTACAAAACTCTAGTGCAAGACATTAAATGACCGTAATCAATAGTTGTTTAGAAAATATAACAAGAAATCTTATTCACTTAACAAAACGTCGGAGAGTTACTACTTTAAAAAATGTAATTTTTTAAACTACATGATAGAATGAACAGAAATTTTCAAAATTTTGTATCCAATGTATTTCCATATATTGGTTCAAAAACCTATTGCTTATCAAAGTCTGGTTGAAATTGGTAAAGTGGTTCTTAAAAAGAAGTCGAAACAGAGGACAGGCGGACGCCCGAAACTTTTCGTTCAGAAAAACTCAAATGAGCCCTCGGCTCAGGTAAGCTAATAAAACTACTGTTTATAAAGGATATATGATTATGAAAAATATGGAGTTAACGAACGGTATTCAAGCTCAAATGTCCATTCAACAATACAAAAGAGGAGCAGAGCACACACGGACCTCCAAAAAATCAGAGGTGGGATCAGATGCCATGCAGGAGTGATAATCCCCTGCCGACCGGTCACATCTGCCGTGTGCTTCCTGTTATCATCGGAAATTAACGGAAAAATCCGTCGACAATTCAGTGTGTTTATAATGACAAATGTTAAAGGACATTCTGCTAAAAAACATAATTGTATTTATGTGCAACATAAAGTAATTTATACCATCTATCGATTAATTATATATTGTTAAGCTTTTTCCGGATATTGTAATGCTACACTCAACCTGTATCAATAATTTAATCTTGTCACGTGATCATTGTCTCAAGTCTGCACACTGTCTGGATAAAGTTTTCATCCACCCCTTCCCCTGCTACCTCTACATTTGTGAATGGATTATGATGTACACCGAGGCTCATGTTATATAATTTTTTTGTCATGTGACTCGGTTTTTATTCAACTGTAGCTAGACATAATAAGTGGAAAATTAATTCTTTCTAAGCATGTTTGCAATACTCAACACAATGTGTTATATCATGTTCCCACAGTGTGTTTATTCAAGCCTTGTGTGTTGTTAAAGTGTTTTTTGCGTTTTTAACTCACCTGAGCTGAAAGCTCAAGTGAGCTTTTCTGATCACATTTTGTCTGTAGTCCGTCTGTCTGTCTGTCTGTCTGTAAACTTTTCACATTTTCGACTTCTTCTCAAGAACCGCTGGGCCAATTTCAACCAAACTTGCCACAAAGTATCCTTGGGTAAAGGGGATTCAAGTTTGTTCAAATGAAGGGCCAAGCCTTCTTCCAAGGGGAGATAATTATGAATTAATGAAAAATTAATTGCATCTTTTAAAAATCTTCTTCTCCAGAACCACTGGGCCAGGAAAGATGAAACTCATGTGAAAGCATCCTCAGGTAGTGTAGATTCAAGTTTGTTCAAATCATGACCCCCGGGGGTAGGGCAGGGCCACAATGGCTGATCAAAGTTTTACATAGAAGTATTTAGGATTTTTTTTTTTAAATCTTCTTCTTAAGAACCACTGTGTCAGAAAAGTTGAAACTTATGTGGGAACATCCTCAGGTAGTGTATATTCAAGTTTGTTCAAACCATGATCCCCGGGGGTAGGGCGGGGCCACAAGGGGCGATCAAAGTTTTACACAAAATGTATGACACAATTAAGATTTGTCAATGTATGACCCCCAGGGTAAGAATGAGCATGAAGTTTTACAAAAGAATAAAATTTTAACTTCAGATATTTTATTGATTAATGTTATTCGATAAAAAGCGAAAATTTTATTTAATATTATAAAAGTCATCATGATTATTAATTGTTGGATCGGGTTCATTATTTTTGAAAATGAAATCGAGGCTCTTTGTTTCGGCCATATTGGAAATCAAGCGAAAGTCGATAGCGACATTTTCCTGTGATCATCTGTTTAACCAGCTGGAATTGTGTTTTGTTTTTTTTAACCAGTTGGAATTGTGTTTTTTTTTTCAAAGTAACGTTTATTGGTGAAAGAAAATACACTATCTGTTCTTGCATTTATTCTTTACCAGATATTTACGATAAGGAGGTAGAGATATACCGAGTTCCGATTTTTGGAATAGCTCCAAAAATTTATTCAGCACTACGAAGTGCCATGTAGAAAGAAAATATTGGAAGAGATGATTTTAGATAAGAATTTAAATATTGCAGTGATAATTATTTATGTACAATTTTATTTTTAAAAGCGCTAGTGAATTTTTAGCAAGTTTTAAGTATAAAAATAATCTACCGGACACTGGTAACTAGTCGGCAGGTAAAAGACAGACATACCATATCTTGTGTAATTTTTCATCAGAAAGAATAGTAATAACCAGCTTACCACTGCATTTTCCTTTAGAAGCTTCTGGAATGGTGATACAGTATTTAATTTGTAGCCATAACTTAGTATTTTGATAATCAAGTGATTGACCCAGACTTGCCTAGGATATACATAATTTATTGCCCTACTCTTCCTAAGTTAAAGGGGAGATGAGACATATAAGATTGTGTCAGGATTTGCAATGCTGCAGTCATAATTTTGCGTTGTGGTGATACAACAAATACATCACATTAAAGAGGGTAATGTTTATATGCTTATGCTAGGTTTACGGTCTTTTTGGCAAATCATGCCTGCAAAACTGTCAAAGTAATAAAGGTGATGAATAATCTTGAAAGTGTTGTGTGATATTTTCTTAATTATTCTTGAAAACATAGCAACTCGTTCAAATTTTTTGAAAGATATAGTTTCGTAGTTGCAACAGTGTTTGCAAACAATTAGTGCGTTATGAAAATTTGTTTGCACTCACCTTTGCAGTTATGAGACTATATCCTTCCAAAAATTATGATTCATTGCTTATATTTACATTTTTTAACTCTCTACATTAACTGCAAATGTTATTTATATTTAAAGCCTATGTATTATTCTTCGTGTAAGCTACATTCAATGGAACAGCCAACGTAACGGCTTCTGTTCAATGTGAGCATGTTTTTTTGATTTTTGTTTAAGACGTTGAACTTCCTCGGTGTTCAACGATTGTGATGTCAAACTAAAACACATGCTTAACCTATTGGCACTCTATCTGTGTTAGGGTGTTTTGAATGCAATAGATTTCCATTCATTTTATGCAAAAAAACATCTGTAATGTAAATATGTTGCAATAAAAAGATGAAAATTTAAAATGTTGATAGTGCAACTGTTAGGGCGAGCGCAGATACCTAATACTTTAGTCCTATTCAATTTATATTAGATCGGCTAGTCAAACTGCATGTGTCATTTACTACTTGTAGACTGACATCACATGACATTATAGGTATGTTGCATAACCAATTCAAAGTCTAAACAGTGGTAATTTTAATCTAGAATGTTTAATATATGGTGGGGGTGGGGTGTGGGCTATATATCCACAAAATCAAGATAAAGTTATTTTTCCTTGAAATTTCTTGTTTCTGAGAGAACCATTAGTTTGAGGCGAGTGCCTTTTGCTAAAGATTATGGAACCACAAGTAATTATGGAAAAAAATAGTTTGGATCAATGTGCCAATTTTCTCTTTGCTCATGGATTGCTTTAAGAGCGTGCAGTGATGCTATTATTCTACCTAACCTAATAACATTGCATCACCTTTACTATTATTATACCCCACGCAACAAATGCGTGAGGTATAATATTTTTGACTCGACCGTCAGTCCTGTTTTTTTGTCAGCGCAACTCCTCATAAACTTACACAGAATTTTGTCAAACTTTGCAGATATTTAGAGGACACAATGTTAGATATGCACATTACCAGGAAATTCCAATTCCTTAATTTTTTTCGGGAATTTCAGCCCTTTTTTACTTCGGTTTTCGGCCATACCTTGAATATAGAGATGAACAGTTTGTCTGCACAACTACTCTTAAACTGCTGCACAGAATTTCATCAAACTTTGCGGATATTTAGGACACGATGTATAGGTGTGCATATTACCTGGAAATTCTGAATCCTATATTTTTCTGGGAATTTCGGCACTTTTCAACTGAGATTTTGGGGGATATTTTGAATATAGCGATGAACGGTTTGTCAGTGCAACTCCTCATAAACTGTTGCACAGAATTTCATCAAACTTAGCAGATATTTAGGACACGATGTGTAGATGTGCAAATCAATGGGAAATCCCGATTCCTTTTTTTACTTTTTCTTTCATTTTCAACAGGATTTTAGGAATTACCAAATGGGGGAGATGAACAAGCACAACTGCAAGACATACTGTGATAGAAAATGAATTCTAAGTGTTAACTCATTAAAATCAAGATTTTCAGTGTGTGAGGAGACCCGTATAAATAATGTGTTGTACAGTAATATTTCGCATTTAAAAAAAACCCTTCCAAATAAATTGTTTTGGAGTTCTGCAGTTTTTCATCATTTTGAATAATAATTCTAATTACTGACTTAAAAGTAATCTGAATTCCAAGAAGAAAAAAAGAAATTGCCAGCCCTCCCACTCATATGGATGTCCCCTTTGCCAGATTATACTGTAAAATTAAATAATTTGTGGGGCTCCTTAAGCTCATTTATTGACAACAGTATTAATCATGTTAATTATTGCTTTCGCACTATAATGTAGTAATATTTTTATTATTTTATTAGTGTTATGTTATTTGCTCTGATTTTCAGTGCATAGAAAGAAACGTTCAATATTTTTTTCTTTGGATATAAATCTGACACAGACTTGAGAGTACACTCTAACAAAGGATCATGAAACAGACTTAGACTTAAGGTAGTCCGATCCTCAGGTTTATAAAATAAGCAGTTAAGTAATCAAAAATACTTATAAAAGTATCTCTAAATCCACAGAGTTATGTTAATTTATTCACAGTATTTCTTTTAAGTTAAAGATTAAAGTTAATCATATTATATAGGGAAAATCGTAAAATCTCCAATATCTTTGCAG